CACCTGGGACCCCCCAAAATGCACCTGGGACCCCCAAAATGCACCTGGGACCCCCCAAAATGCGCCTGGGACCCCCCAAAATGCGCCTGGGACCCCCAAAATTCACCTGGGATCCCCAAAATTCACCTGGGACCCCCCAAAATTCACCTGGGACCCCCAAAATTCACCTGGGACCCCCAAAATGTACCTGGGACCCCCCCAAAATTCACCTGGGACCCCCCAAAATTCACCTGGGACCCCCCAAATTCACCTGGGATCCCCCAAAATTCACCTGGGACCCCCCAAAATTCACCTGGGACCCCCCAAATGCACCTGGGACCCCCCCAAAATTCACCTGGGACCCCCCAAATGCACCTGGGACCCCCCAAAATTCACCTGGGACCCCCCTGGGGTGCCCCAGGCTGGGCTGGGCTGGGTGCGGCCTCCTGATAAGGCGGGTGTGGGAGAACTGGGAGCACTGGGAGGGACTGGGAGCACTGGGAGGGACTGGGGGTAGGGTGAGGGCTGTACTGGGAGCACTGGGAGGGACTGGGAGGGACTGGGAGAGGGGTAAAAGTTGTACTGGGAGCACTGGGGGCAGGGTGAGGGCTGTACTGGGAGGGACTGGGAGCACTGGGAGGGACTGGGAGCACTGGGAGAGAGGTAAAAGCTGTACTGGGAGCACTGGGGTCAGGGTGAGGGCTGTACTGGGAGTACTGGGAAGGACTGGGAGCACTGGGGGTTACTGGGAGCTGTGGGAGAGGGGTAAAAGCTGTACTGGGAGCACTGGGAAGGACTGGGACTGGGATAAAAGCTGTACTGGGAGCACTGGGGGCAGGGTGAGGGCTGTACTGGGAGCACTGGGAGCACTGGGAGTTGGGGTCAAGGGTGAAAGAGCACTGGGGTCAGGGTGAGGGCTTGACTGGGAGTACTGGGAACACTGGGAGCACTGGGATTGGGGTAAAAGCTGTACTGGGAGGGACTGGGGGTGTGGTAAGGGCTGTACTGGGAGCACTGGGAACAGGGTGAGGGCTGTACTGGGAGCACTGGGAACAGGGTGAGGGCTGTACTGGGAGCACTGGGAACAGGGTGAGGGCTGTACTGGGAGCACTGGGAACAGGGTGAGGGCTGTACTGGGAGCACTGGGAACGGGGTGAGGGCTGTACTGGGAGCACTGGGAACAGGGTGAGGGCTGTACTGGGAGCACTGGGAACGGGGTGAGGGC